CTACCCCAAACCTCTATATGGCCAATGGTTCCTAAAGCTAGCTGTCCTCAAGGAGAGCACCAAGCTTTGCCCTGCCCATGCATACACCCCATCCATGCAGGCCCAGAAATAAGCAAGTGCCGTATTTCACAAAATCCTTTCTTTTCTCTTGTAATCTTAAAACAGAACTGCAGGGCCCAGCTCCATGGCACAACAGCTAAATCCTCACCTTGCAAGCACCAGGATCCCATACAGTCACCAGTTCATGTCCCAGCTGTTCCACTTTCCTTCCAGCTCCATGCTTGTGGCCTGGGAAAGCAGATGAGACATCCCAAATTTTGGGACCCTGCACCTGGTTTTGGATCAGCTCAGTTCCAGCCAGAGCAGCCATTTGGGAAGATCTCTCTCTCTCTCTTTCCATAAATCTGATCTACTTATCCAATAGAAATCAATAAACCAGAAATGGCAGGAAAGCCTGTAGCCCTCCACCCTGCCCTGCCCCACGTGGGACCCATGCAGACAGCAGAGTTTGGGAAACAGCACGTGCTGTCACCGTGTGTCAGGCACAAACACCATTGGCCTGGCAGAAGTTCAGAGGAGTCCTGTTCCAGGTCACTCAGCCCAGCATTGGCCCCAAGGGATCTCAGGTACAGAAGAGAAATGGCTGATGAATGATAGATGCAGATTCATAGATGGAAGCTGGATAGATGATGGATACCTAGATGAAAGATGGTGACAGAATAGATGATAGAGATAGATAGATAGATAGATAGATAGATAGATAGATAGATAGATACTGTTTATATTGGTTAAACTAGCTCCACACAAAACATTTTGAGATTACAGTAGTACAAACACATTCATGATACACATGAAGGAAAACGGGGCTTGGAGATGGATTTGCTCAGTCCCACAGAGCAGGCCAGAGACAGAGCTGGTTCCTAAGGCCCTGTTCCTTTATTATACTTAACTCTAAACCCCAGGAGTTTTGGTCATCAAAGAGCTCAGCATTGTTTCTAACAACCCGAGTACTACTGATCGCAAAGCCTCCACCTGGCTTGCCTTGCAGGCACCCCTCTGTGGGGAAAGGGAGCCCTGTCCTGGCCCCACACTCATGTCGCTGAGGCTGGGTAACAAGGCCCAGGGCAGTCCTGACATTGGGCCCTGGGTTTCTGGAGGGACAGGTGCCCTGGGGCCTGGAACCTTCCATAAGACTACAGTCACAGAAATGGGCTTCCTGACAGGCATCCCCAAACAGAGACAAGAGTTTACCCTGACACCCTAAGGATTAGGTTAAGGAAATGAAAGCCACAGGACCCAGCTGGGAGCCCCACTCCTCCCAAAAGCCACATCTAGGAGTCCACCTCCCCTTTCCTACTGGCAGAACTGCCAGCCTCAGGCACCATCGCAATACAGGTGGGTGCCCCCCACCCTCACTGGGCACACAACACTCACTCCCCCAACCACACCCTCACAGCATGGTGCTACAAAATACTTTGCCTTTGCCTGGCACACCCTGTCTCTGCAAGCAGCTCCAACGTGTGCAGAGGCCCTAATCGCTGCTGACTCCTACAGAGACCAGAGTTGGGCTTTGCACAGGGCACACATAGGAAGAGGAAAAAGGCCTAAGGGTGGCAGGCCAAGTGATTAGCATAGAGAGGTCCTGTGGGAATTTATAGTGACTCAGCATGTGCGACAGCAAACTGGAATTCACATTGGGTGACTGACCATGCAGTCACATCAAGAGGCCCAGAGTGGACAGGACCCAAGGGGCTGCAGGGTGCCACAGATCCAGCCTGCCCTCCAGGGCCTCAGTCCCTCATTCTCCATGCAGGAGCTGAGGATGAGCGAGGACACTGATTCAATTAGGGAATACCATGGAGGGGAAGTCCTTCGCTGGCCTGGAGCATGAAAGGAACCACTCGGTTACAAAACTGTACCCAGGTTCCTATTAAGCCACTATCCTTCCCCATCCCATGCACCTGCACATGAGCCCCAAAAGCCAGCCGCCTTTGATAGCCCAACCAAGGTCACATCAGAAAGGACCCCTGGCCACACCCACAGACCCCCTTGGTCTGGATATCAAGGACCAGATGCCCTGGACCGGAAGCCATGGGGTTGCATTCTCACGCCTGTCCTTCAGGCCAAAATCTTTACGGGAGCCACTTGTCCTCCTTGGTTCCAAGCCCAGCCCACACCTCTGCGGGCATCTCTGGGAGTCTTAGGATAACCAGTGCCCCCATTGGAGCCCCAGCCTGGGCTCCTCCTCTCCATCCATCTCTGAGAAGTATTGAGGAGCCCCCCTCCACGTAGCACCGTCACCATACTTCCCCCTTTCCCATGGCAGACATTGGGGAATGAGGGGAATGAGGGCTGCACCAACGCTTCCCTGGTTCGACTGCCCAGCAGTCACAGTGAGCACCGTTAGGATCTGCTCTTACGGCTGGGACATGCGGCCCGAGGTTGGAAGGCTGCTAGCCTGGCTGTTGTCTGGCTCTGTCTGCCTTTGGGGCAATGGGCGCCCTGGCGGGGAAGGGAAAGGAGCTGCTACTGCTGGGTGGACGTGGGGAGCAGGCCACCTCACTAGCTGCAAGCATTGAGAGTCCGGGGGAGGGTGTGCCTTTCCACACATCACTCTGGGTGCCTTACCGTCACGGCCTCAGGCCTGTTATTAGAGCCCTGGCCACTTCTCAGGCCTTCCAGGCCCTCCCAGCTGCAGGCACACGCCAGCAGTCAGGAACGGGAGGAAACATGGCCCTGAGCAGCCATCCTCATCCCCGTGGTTTGGGGCTGGTCTTTTGAGATCCAGTCTCCCCTCCCCCCCCCCTTAGAACCAGAGCCCTTGGCCTGGCCTTACACTTCAAACCTGACTCCCACACCAGGGCTCTCGGCTCATCTTCTGCACCCAGCAACACACACCCCCCCACCACACACACACACTCAGCCCCAAGGTGCTCAAGCCGCATCCTGAGAAGGCCTGGGTCCTGGGCCCTGGATACAGAGCAGGAAACTGAGCAAATCCTTTCCTCTTGTGACCCCCCATTTCCAGGACTAGTTCCTGGATCTTTAAGGGTCCTTGCAGCCTCCAAGCACCAGACCGTGGCACAGGACCTCACGCCCTCCCTGACAGCCGGGTGGACTTGGATGAAACCACAGAAAGGCATCCAAGGTGCCTGCCTTTGGCCAGACACGACTGGAGCCACCAACCAGCACACATTTCTACCTAGAGCTTTCCATCACACCACATACTTATGCCACACCATGGGGCACACAGGAGGGGGTCTTTGAAAAGTTCATGGAAATGCACGGCATGGAAAAAGTCGTGCATGGATCTTAGAATAAGTGCAGTCCCCACACCTCTCTTCGTTGCATGTTCAAGAGCATTTTTGAGTACCCTGTGCCATGCTACATGTGCCCACACGTCGAGGTGCAATGCACAGTTTGGTGTGTAGTTCACACATTCTACCTTTATATACACACAGAGAAGCTTGTGTCTCACACCCTAGCAGAGGCAGAAGCACACTCCTGTACATAGGAGAGGACCCACTGACCTCTGGGGACATGCGCACACTGCCCACAGACCTGAACCTTGCAGTTCTGTCCCACACCGTTGGTCTCTGACATTCTTTGAGTGGAGATCTGCCTTCCTTGCAGGTGTCAGCACCATCCCTCCACAAAGCTGCTGGGGTCACAGACACAGCACCTGCAGCCAGGCACGCCTGTGCCCTCTTTCCACCACTTGCTGTTCCCCTCTAGCTCATCACTTGTCTCCTGGGCCTCTGACCCTTTTTCCTTGGAATGCGGGGTAACAGAACTTACCTCAGGGGGTACTGGGGAAGATCAAAAGAGGCAAGGCCTGGCACACAGGGAGGCCTTGGGAAATGGGCATGGCTCACCTGCTCAAGGCTACTGAGCAAGGTATGCATACTCTCCATCTCTCAAAGAAAGACTCAAAGTCACACATCCCAGTCTCCAGGCTTTCAAAAACCCAGATAACACACACGAGAGAGCCGCTTCATTCATATTTATTTCACATTTGATCTGTAAACTTTTATTTAAAAAAAAAACACCATCATTAGCAACAAGTGCTGTCATTAGCTTTACTTTCATGAACTAAGAGCTCAGACCTTGAACTGTCTCTGTCCACACTGCATGTAGAGACACAGATGTAAACCCAAGTCGTGGCCTTCCTCCCTCCCTCTGCCCCCAGGCTGTGGCAGTTCCTCAATCCCAGGAAAAGCAGGGGCTGGAGGCCGGCACTTTGATCCCTGCCGGCTCAGCTGCAGGGGCAGGAGCCTAGCAGTTTGGCAGGCCCATTTGTCTTCGCAAACTGTTTACCTAGGGCAAATCGCATCAGGTCGGCCTCTTCCGCATAATTTCCACTCCTCTGTATCTAAAAACAGCAGCTCCCAGATTTCCCCCACGCTCAGCGCTTTCGCGGAGGGAGGGGCACACACGGGGACCAGACCGGAGCACACATACCCTTCTTCAAGCCACAGCTGGTGCCCTGCAGGCAAGGAGGGAACCCCCCCCCCAAAGGAGCTTTCAGGTGAGGGAGCGGGGCACAGGTGCATGGGGGAATCATGGCTTTGCACACAGGGCTGATGTGAGGCTCATGTGGTCCCCTACCCCTGTCTTGGTCCAGTGCTGTCATATTTACAGAGGAAAAGGCATTTTTGCTGTTAGGCACAAGGGGGACAGTGGATAGAAAGGTTTGTTGGTTTTGTTTTTGTTTTCCCCTGTCGGGAAGTCTCAAACCAGGTCCACAGCCAAGGGACAGTCACCAGGGACAGGTGATCGGTCTCCAGGGAACATAACAACACACCGCAGAAGGGTTCACTTGCACCGGGGCTTGGCCTGAGCCGCCCGGCTGCTGTCCACCTCCCAGGGCTTCCATGGGACAGCCTGGAGTCCAACAGCAAAGCCAAGGCCACCGGCCACTGGGGGCCCCGTGAAGGTGTGGCAGGAGAGAAAACATACTATCAAAAATAGTGTCTATGTACAGTGGGAGGTGACAGGGATGGGCAGGGCTGCCCTGAGTGCTTTGTTTTTGTTTGTTGAAGATTTGCAACTGGGGAGGGAGACAATCAACCGAGACTGGGGAACACCCCCATCCCCGTATCCATTAACCCTTCTTGGCCATGCTTCCCGGGAGTCCACTGCTCTGAAGAGCCCCCACAGGAGAGCCGGCCGAGGGGAGTGGGTGAAAACGCCTTTGGGAGCAATACTGATGACGAAGGGCGGCCAGCTAGGGAAATGTCCCGGCCATCAGCCATCAGGGTTGAGGTGCACGTGGCTCCCCCAGCCAGCCAGAGCGCCTAGGGGAAATCGCTGAAAGGGCCGCAGCCGGGTCCCCGCACCGCCCGTCATTTCACACGATCCGCTTCCTCTCCCCGCGGCACAGGATCTTCTTGAAGGCTCGGCGGAAGTCGTGGTTGAAGATAGTGTAGATGACCGGGTTCAGCGAGCTGTTGCAGTAGCCGAACCAGAAGAAGAACTTGAACAGCGTGGTGGGCACCGAGCAGCCGACGGCCGTGAGAGTGTAGGTGAAGAAGAAGGGGAACCAGCACACCACGAACACGCCGATGACCACGGCCAGCACGAACGTGAAGCGCTTCTCGCGGTTCTGCCGCCCACGCCAGCGAGACGCCTTGGCACCCACAGCACGCGGCTCCCCAGGCCCAGACACCGACGCCCCGGACCCCGCGGCCCCTGGCGCACGCCGCGCCACGCTGTCCCCGGGCCTCACCTGGCTCGCCCGGGTCTTGCCCTGGGCCCTCGGCTTGCGGGACCCCGGGGGCCGCTCGGCGGCGTGCTCGGATGACGAGCTCTCCTCCAAGTCCAAAGCGTCGGCTTCGCGCGCCCCTGCCGGAGCGGGTTCCCCAGCGGCGCCGTTAAGCTGGATGGGCAGCGGCTGGGCCTCGGCGCCCGAAGAGCCGGCGCCGCGCTCGGGGCCCAGGCCATTGGGCCTGCGTTCGGCGACCCCGGATGGCACCGTGGCGGTGGCTGTGGCAGCGTCGGGACCCCGGCGGCTGGGCGGCACGCGCGTGCGGCGCTTGGCTATCTGGTAGATGCGCACATAGACCAGGATCATGATGAGACAGGGCAGGAAGAAGGAGCCGGTGCAGGAAGCGATCACATACCACTTCTGGTCGTTGATCTCGCAGCGCTGCCGCCCGCCGCCGCCGCCGCCGCGCTTCTCGACGGAGATGAGCGGTGGGAAGGAGATGACAGCCGAGATGACCCACACCGTGACGATGATGGCCTTGATGCGGCGCGGCGTGCGCTTCAGGTTGTACTCGATGGCCTGCGTGATGGACCAGTAGCGGTCCAGGCTGATGGCGCACAGGTGCGCGATGGACGAGGTGCAGAAGAGCACGTCGAGCGCCAGGTAGATCTCACACCACGCCTGGCCAAAGTACCAGTAGCCCATGACCTCGTTAGCCAGTGAGAAGGGGATGACCAGCGTGGCCACCAGGATGTCGGCCGAGGCCAGGGACACGAGGAAGAGGTTTTGGGGCGCTTTGAGCGCGCGGCTGGTGAACACGGCAATGATGACGAGTACGTTGCCGAAGACTGTGAGCAGTATGAGCAGGCCCACCAGGCACACCAATGTGAGCGTCACCTCCAGGGAGTACGGGGGGCCGGCCGAGGCGCCGCCCCCCGGCGCCTCGCTCCCGTTCCAGCTCCCGTTGCCTGCGTCCGGCTGCAGGGAGCCCATGGGCGCAAAGCTGCCCCCGGCCAGTGGCTGCTCCTGGCGGAACATGTACGCGGGCGCCCGCTTCCCCGGGCCTGCTGCCAGCTGCCTTCCGGCCGGGTGCCCGCAGGTCCTCCTCTTCCTCCGGCGCCCCGCTCGCCCTGCCGCGCCTCACATAGGGAGGGGGGCAGCAGGGAGGCCGAGCCGGGGCTGGAAGGACACTAGTATGGGCCCATGGGCTGGGCTCCCGGGGCCGCCGCTTTGGACGCTCCTGGCTCCTGGACGAGGCCAAGTTTTTATTTCTCTGCCTCAGGAGAGAGTAGGGTGAGCCGACAGGTCAAAAGATTTATGCTTCACGAAGGAAGGACGGAAATCACCGGCGGCGACGGGCCGACTCGCAGGGACGATGACTGTTTCTAAAGCTACCGATTCTAGGATGTAGGCAGTGTGTGTGTGTGTGTGTGTGTGTGTGTGTGTGTGTGTGTGTGTGTGTGTGTGTGTCGCCTCCTGAGCCCGAGCGAAAGCAAGAGGTCTTACCGTGTGTGCGGGGACCACCGCCTCGGGCAACGGCGCGGGGGGTGCAGATGCGGGCTGGGCTCCTGCACCTGTCGTCTCCTTAGATCCCCGATGCGAGGACCGGCTCGAGCGCTGCCCCCACACTCGGCGGTGCGCGCCGGGTTCGGCCCGGGGCCAGGGCGCGGACTCCGCCGCCTCTGGGAGCGCCACGGGACTTCCAAAGTTGCGCTCGCTGCGGGGGCTGGAGCGCTAGGGGCTGAGCTCGGGAGCGGCGGCGGGCCGAGGAGTGTGGGGGCCGCATGAAGGCGCCCCCGTCCTCGGGCGGGCCCCGGCAACCGAGCAGGCGGCTCTCCCGGAGCCGCGCGGCCGTAGCAGGCACGATGGCTCCTGATCGTCGGCCGGGTGGCAGCGGGGCGCAGCCGGCCCCGCAGGGGTCCGAGGACAGCGGGAACCGAGGCAGGAGCGCGCGGCTGGGGAGACGGCGCTGGGCTGGCCTGGCCTGGGCAGGGCTGGGCTGGGCTGGGCTGGGCTGCGGGGCGGCGGCGCGCTGGGCGTCTGCACCGGAGCGGGAGCCGCTGCTGCTCGCCGCGCTACGGTGGACTGGTTTTATAGCCCCAGGATCAAGCCGGCGTTGCCGAGCAGCCGGCGTCAGCCCCCACGTGGGAAGTCGACCCTCCTCCGCCCCTCGCGCCTCCCCTCAGCCCTCCGAGAGCCCGCGCCCCGAGCGGGACCCCGGGGAGCGCTGCTCCCCCCAAGGCTGCCCCTGCCCGGTGAGGAGGCGGGGATCTCGGGCAAGGGACTGAGAGGCAGAGCAAGAATGCGGGGAGGAGGAGGAGGAGGGACGGCTCCCACTGTGGGTTGGCCGGGCAGGCCCGGCTGAAGGCGGTGGGCACCCAGGAGTGCCCGCGTGCCGCTGGGTCCTGGAAAGCAGGGGTTGTCAGAAAAGCCCAGCCCTCATCCGCAGCGGCGGCCGCCCTCGGTACTGGTCGCAACCCAAAGGGCCAAACAGGGGCCAGCCCGCCGTGGTCCGCAGGTGACCCTAAGCCACCGGGGCGAGAGGGTTCATGGCTGGGAAGGAGGGCGCAGGTTCACGTCGAATCCTTGGGGAGGAATGGGCAGCGCCCGCGGGGCTGCGGACAGGGCCAAGTCAGGCCGGGGTTCAGGTACCCCCTTGCGGAAGATGCTCACAGATGCCCCACCCTCAACCCCGCCGCAGAGCCCCCCACCCCCAGCAGGGGCGTCTGCACGATCTGCGCCGCCTGGGGTCAGGACCTAGGCCCCCTTACCTTCCTCGCTGCTGGGAAGGGTCCTGGAGGTGGAGGAGGCGCGTGGTGGCAGAGCGAGGCCGCACTGACACCTGCTGGCCGCTCGTCGCCAAGGCTGGGAAGCGACCCTTGAGCGCCGGGCGCCTCCAACGAGTGTCCGCGGCTCTCTGCCCGCAGCGCTTTTTGTCTAAGGACAAGTTTGTGTCTAAGCTCCGGAGGAGAGCGCCTGGATTTTAACTGCACTTTGTCGCGCTGCAGAAATCTTTCTCAAGCAGATTCTCCTGTGTGTCTAGCTCGGCAGGTGCACGCTTTGATGAGGTCAAATCAGGACTGGCTGGGCAGGACCCCGCGTTCCACCTGCCTGCCTCTTGCCTCTTTCAGGTGAGCCAGCTCTAGGAACCCAGGTATCTGCTGAGACCAGGAAAGCCCCTAAATGCACACAAACCGTCAGTAAGGGGAGAGGGCTAGCCAGGGTTGGGGATACGGTGGTTTTCCAGGTTCTCTCCGTTAAGAAGGCGCGGGATGGGTGGGCCAGGTTATCTCAAGTACTGGCTGTCCTACCTTGTGCCTAAGTCACTAGAACAGCAGCTTGCAGCAACTAAATCAAAATGCCTTTTGTAGACCACCTGGTCTGCCAAGCCAGATGCAGGCTCAGCTCCGGGGTGGGGAACCAGGCCCTTGATCATGGCCGTCAGACCCCCATCTTTGCAGCCCTAAGGATGCGTTAGCTGACAGTGCTACTCTTGCCTCCCTAATCTTCTTTAGAACAACTCAGCCTTCTGTCTCATCCTACTTCCTTGACTTTGCCTCTAGCCTCGCCCCCAGAGGCGTGACCTCCTCTTCCAGTCCTTGTTTCTGGGGCGCCTCTCAATGCCCATTTCTGTTGGCATCATCTTACCCCTGTGCTTTGAGATTCTCAGCAGGGGTCAGGCTCAGTTTGTGATTTGGGACTTCTACACAGCAAGGAGAGCCCCAAGCCTTGGGAATGAAAATCAGTGCTCAGGGCCCTTTAAGGTCTGTGGTGTCGTTGGGAGGACTGAGGGTCTTGGAAACCCATCAGGCCCCAACTCCAACATACTGGCCTCCTTCTCACCTTGCTAGAAGTAGACATGAAAACAAATCCACAGGTCAAGCTTACATGTGACAAGCCTGAATGTTGCTCAAGCAACCAATTGCTTTGTTAATTTCTGGATTTGGAGTCTTTTCTCCCGTCATGGAAATGGGTGGTTCAAAGAGCTAGGGACCCTGAGGTCAACACCCAACCGCTGATGACAGCAGCTGCTTTGTTCAGTAGCTCCTGTGAGTCCTGTCCAGCCAGGGATGCTTCCAGAGCTCCTGGATACAAAGTCACTTCCTCTGACTTGCGATCCTTATCAAAACCAGGTCGATATATCCAGCTGCAAAAAGCTAGCTGGACATGATTAAACTGCCCTGCAGGACTTCCTGCTGTGCCAGTCAAGTGGTGGAGCTGGCAGTTCTACCCCAGGCTGACTATCCTCATGGCCTCGGAAGGCAAATGGAGATGGAGAAGCATGGGCTGCAGCCCGGCGTTTAAGCAGAGCTCGTTGAGTGCTGCAGATCTAGCACCCCAGGCACCAACCTAAGCAGGGGGCAGGACTAAGGCTCTGATGTCCAGACTGCCTGGGGACTTGCAGGAGGCCGACCTGCCATAGAAGGAAGGGACCCCAGTCTGAGCATCAGTATCCTCTTTCTCCATCCAGCAGACTGCTGGGTAGGTGCCAGAGCCCTGCAGAGAGCTGGAGCATGGCAAACTCTGGACAGTCACTGTCCATGAGGCTGGCTTTGCCATCCTGAGGAATCACCCGGGGAACAAATGCCAGTCCATGGCTACTCTAGTATTCACAAAGAGAAGTCCTGTCTGTTAGCATGGACCCCATGCCAGGCAGGAAGCTGAGCAGTTTATGGGCTACATGTTATTCTGTATCACTTTAGCAGACCCTTCAGTATAGCTGCTATGATTTACCTCTGTAGGTGGGAGAAGTCAGACAGCCTCAGTCAATTGCCGAGCTAATGGGCAGCACAGTCCAAGATCCCGTTTCCTGATTGTTGGCCTGACCAGCTTCCTCGTATCCTTACTGTGAAACTCTTGTCCCCAACAGCACTGGCAAGGGGCAACCTCCAAGAGGCCTGGCAGCAAAGAGGGCATGTCCCACCTCTCTTTTCATGTATTTGTGGCTACTAGAGCAGAGCGCTGGCAAGGCGTTCATCTTTCCACCCATGTCTGATGCTCACGCAGGGAGGCGGCCGTGGAGAAGCCCTGGCCCTGCCACGGCCAGTGTGATGGACGCACTCCTCTGCTGGCCGTCGGCCCGCGGTCCTCAGCTCCTTCCTTTCTTCTGATAGCGACTTCATGAAGGCAGAAAGGGAGCCAGGAGTGGGGCTAGGAAATTAATTACTTTTTAAATAAAGATTTATTAAAGATTTCCCAGGCCACCAGCAGGGAGCTGGATGGGAAGTGGAGCAGCCAGAACATGAACCAGCACCCATATGGGATCCCAGCTAATGCAAGGTGAGAACTTTATCTACTAGGCTACCGCATCAGGCCCAATTGCTTACTTTTTTCTTTATGCAGAAGCAACTGCCTAAGAAAAGTGACTTGTCCCATTATCCAGGGCTTCTAAATTGTAACAGAATCCTCACAAGAGATTTTTGACCACATGCCTACAAACAGGGCTTTCATGAACACACATTCTCAACCATCTGAACATGCCAAGCAGGTAGAGCTCACCGTGCTCCCAACACAGCCCATGCCCTGAGCACAGCTGGATCGACATGCTGAAGGAAGAAGTTACCAACATCTGACAAGTAAGGGGAAGAGGACTGGAAGTCACTTAGGGGAACAAAGCACTGGTTCCTCTGGGCTGGTGTTTAACTCCCCCATCTGACTGCCCTGGAGAATCCCACTGACACGAAAGGCTGACGGAAGCCAGAAGAGGAGCGTCAGTTCCCAGAGTGCTGTGGGGAGCTACCGCACCCACTACCTGCCATGATGCCACGCCAGTCCTGCCACACCCACCCAAACAAGGGACAAGGGACAAGGGTTGCTCCTTCACCTTTTTTTTTTTTTAGCCTATTCTGCCCCATCCTACTCCATTTGGTGTTTTCTGTCTCAGGAAAGGCCCCTAGCCTAGATAAAAAAAAAAGACAGCAGTTGGTGCCAGAATCAACTTCACCTTGAGGATGCCAGGAAACGCTGGGCACCCAGCTGGCTATTGGCTGCTGCCTTTCATTGCAGGGCCTTTCCTGCAGCATCTCCACTGAAATGTGACCAGGCAGGACGTGTGCGCAGACACGCGGCTCACCACCATCTTCTAGATCAGTCCTCACAAACACATGTGCCTTCCCACCACATCCATGGGCTCTGCCTGCTCATAACACACACTGCATCAGCCATGGGGAGCAGCGGCAGAGCAGGTGAACTAGGGCCGTGGCC